AAAAAAAATAGAAAAAGGAACAATATTATATATCAAAATTTCTTTTCTCTGATCTGTAAGAGAGCATTATTTTTATTACATGATAACGTGAAACATTTTATGGCACTTGTTTGCAGTTTTGCATCACATTCTCTTTACTACAGTCTAATGGGATTTTTTCCTAAGTAGAAACATTTTTTAATTTTAAGAGTAATCTATGTTTTTTATTAAAAATTCCACAGTGCCAAAGTATAGAAAGCAGACAGTGGAAGACTATCATTTTAACCTTCCTGACATAGCCATTTTTGATAATATGTTATTAATTTAGTTACTTTTTTCTGTATAGATGTGATTGTGTGTGTGTGTGTGTGTGTGTGTGTGAATGTGTGTATGCACATGCATGCATGGGGGGCGGTTAAGTTGCTAAACATAGATACATATATTTTTCCTATTGGTATTTTCAATAAGATACAATGGGCTTTCTTCCATTTGTGTAGTTCTACCAATGTTTCTACATTGGTAAGTTCTACATGGTTATATAGTTAGTACTTCTTTGTGTGGTTATACTGTAATTTCTTTACCTGGTCAATTGATGGTGGACATTTGCATTGCTTCCAATTTTTGTGTATAAGTAGTATTTCTGGGGCAGTATATGAATATTAACATTTTTGACACACATTTTACATACTTCCCATCCTATACCCACCAGTCTAGTCACATGCTTGTTTCCTTACATTAAGATTGGTTTCTAGCAAGTGTTATAATCCTGGTTAGTTTGATAGGTTTAATGTGCTTTTACATCTTTGTTTAATTTTCATTTCCTTCTTTTTAAAAAATATTTTTATTGATTTCAGAGAGGAAGGGAGAGGGAGAGAGAGAAAAAAACATCGATGATGAAAGAATACCATTTTTTGGCTGCCTCCTGCACGCCCCACACTGGGGATTGAGCCCACAGCTTGATATGTGCCCTGACTATAATTGAACCATGACCTCCTGGTTCATAGGTCGCTGCTCAACCACTGAGCCATAGCAGTAGGGCATATCTGCATTTCTTTTGATTATCAATGAGGTTATTTTTTTTCCTGTATTTCATGACTTTATGAATTGCCTATTATTGGCCTCTGTTCATTTTCCATTGGGCTATGTAATCTTTTGTTGTTATTAGAACTTTTATACATATAAATATCATAGTTTCAAATTTGATTAATTTGTGGGAATTGTCCTAATATTCTTGTTTCATTTGAATCTTATTACCCTAGTTTCTTCCAGGAGGTACTTTATGTAGAGGAAAAACCAATGAATGTGATGTTCCAGAATATTGCAATGGTACTTCTCAGTTCTGTCAGCCAGATGTTTTTATTCAGAATGGATATCCTTGCCAGAATAACAAAGCCTATTGTTACAACGGCATGTGCCAATATTATGATGCTCAGTGTCAAGTCATCTTTGGCTCAAGTAAGATATTTTATTTATAGTTGATTGCTTTGATTTTGTTTTTTGCTTTAGTTTTGGTTAAAAGTTGAAATAAAAATTAACAATAAAAAATAACAGTATATATACATAATATCAAATTTTAGTTTTAATAAATTCATATAAATAGTATAGGGATATACATTGGGGTCTATTATTTTCATTGTTCACTCAGAATATTTTTGAGATCCATCTGTGTTGAGATTTACATTTAGATGATAATGCAATAGACTATTCTATTACATGAATGTAATCTGTTCTATTACTGATAGATATTTAGGATGTTCAAAAATTCTTCTGATTCTCTTTTTAAAGTTTTCATTTTTATTAGACTTATATTTACACATAAAGATCCAAATTATTTAAAGATTTTATGAAAAAATAAAGTGTACTTGCAAGTACTATCTTCATTCATTGAGGAAACCACTTTTACCTTTTCTAGCTGATTGTTTTTTCGCTTGTTTCAGGTCTTTAGATGGCCTCTTGGTAATGCTACGTTTTGATTTTTCCCATGGTAGGCATTCACTATTATGAGGAATTGGCTCACATAATCACAGAGAATGGTAGGCCTCTTGTAGGGTAACGTCAGAAGAGCTAATGGTGTAGTTACAGTCCCCAGGCTGGCAGGCCAGAGATCCAGGAAGCCTGGATGATTCTGTTCGAGCGCTCAGGCAGTGCATGCCTAATCCCCTTAGATTGGGTGAAGAGGCTGCCTCCCTGGCAAAGAAGACTCATCAGAATCTAGGGGTTCAGTGTCCCCAGCTTCATCAGGGTCTTCCCACATATCTCCATTTCAGCTTTCAGGATCTCATTCTTTCACAATCACTGTCCTCAGTGTAACAGTAGACACCTATGAGGCTGGAAGCTCATCCTGGGTTGTAATTCAGCCAATTGGAGAATGAGATTCTGGATTTCATTCGTAACAATCCCAGCTCTATCATTGCAGGAGATACATGTCTTCTGCAGGTCACACATAGCTTTCAGCTTATTTATGCAGTGATCAAACTGGGAATTCAAATACCTGAGTTTATCTCCTCCCCTTCACCGTCCCCCTCTCCCCCCCGCCGCTTTGTCTGGTGATATCAGAAGCAATCAGACAATCTCATACCCCATTGGGCATTTGATTAAAATGCTGGATTTATTTCTTCAAACCTAGAGTTGTTGATTTTGACAAGACTTCTGTTGCCTTTAATTTCTGTTGTACTCCTCTTACAGTGGGTAAGATAAGCAGGAGGAGAGAAGACTATTTAAAAATTAAACGGGGCTTATTTATGTTACTCAGGCTATGGAGACGAAGTGGTAGAGCTCTGTCAACTTGTGATATATATATTTTGCAAGAATAGGTAGGTTATTCCAGCCTAAAAAAGTAATTTCCGATAGGCATTCTTAATGAAGTAAGTACTATTATTTAGCAAAGATGTTAAAATGGCCTGCAAAAAAGCCTAGGACTAAAGGAACCACAGTAATTTTTTTCTTTTGATATTTTCTGGAATTCTTATAGCTATTTCCATCCTATAGGAGAGCTTTGCTAGGTATTGCTATATGATATTTATCCTGTACAAATATTCTGCATTCATTTTTCATGTTACTTGATCCTTTGCCCCTTTTTTCCTCTAAGTCTTTTCACTCATATCCATTTTCTTTTAAACTAAACAACATAGTATTAGATGTGTAAGATAGGCAAATGAATTTCCTATATTATATAGAAAGTACTGGCATTTTGGCTTAAAATATTTTTAAGTAAAATATTTTTAGGAATGTATAATTAAGTGGAAAAATTGAATATTAAGTGACACTTTATAAAATAGAAGAAAGCAAGAATGAGTTAATACTTTTAAAATATATATTTTTTTATTGATTTCAGAGAGGAGGGGAGAGGGAGAGAGAGATAGAAACGTCAATGATGAGGGAATTATTAGCTGCCTCTTGCATGCCCCCTACTGGGGGTTGAGCCTGCAACCTAGGTATGAACCCTGACCAGGTTGGGAATCGAAACCTGACCTCCTGGTTCATAGGTCAACACTCAGCCACTGAGCCACACCGGCTGGGCTGGAATGCTACTTTATCAGTTGTCATGGCTGTCAGTCTATCTATTTCAGCGGTTCTCAACCTGTGGGTTGTGACCCCTTTGGGGGTCGAATGACCCTTTCACAGGGGTCACCTAAGACCATTGGAAAACACATACAATTACATATTGTTTCTGTGATTAATCACTATGCTTTAATTATGTTCAATTTGTAACAATGAAATCAGGGGTCACCACAACATGAGGAACTGTATTAAAGGGTCGCAGCATTAGGAAGGTTGAGAACCACTGATCTAATTACTAGGAATACCTAAATTAAGCTTCCACATATGGTAAATTAAAAAACCAAATAATAGCTGGCAATATTTTCATCAACCTTTCCCCACCTGTTTTAACTAGGAGTGCAATGCATATGTGTTTGAGAGCAGTGGGAATGACTGTGCTGAAAATGCTACCATACTGTGTGTGGGTTTTAATTTATTTATAGTTTCATCTTGTTTATTTGTAGTTGCATCTCTTTTAGACCTTGAGTGTTTGAGTTTAGGCTAACTTTTAAGTATAGTCTGAGCTTTATTTTTACAGTTGGTTGTTAAGTATAAAGTGTGGAACAATTTTTTTTTCCCCCCGTAAGGCTAGAAACTTTTTCAAAGGTATTGAGGCAGTTCATCCAGTTGTATGGACTGTCATAGGGAATACTTTTCTTTCTGAAATAAATTGCCAGAACCTAAATTTTTTTTTATTAACATTGCAGAAGCCAAGGCTGCCCCAAAAGATTGTTTCATTGATGTGAATTCTAAAGGTGACAGATTTGGCAATTGTGGCTTCTCTGGTAATGAATACAAGAAGTGTGCCACTGGGTAAGTGACGGGAGGTTATAAAGGAAAATGAATGATTGCAAGACCAGTCATCTTTTATAACTCCTTGTGACTGCCAACTTTCTCCCCTTTAAATACCTAACTTTTCAAACTTACAATTTTGCAACACAAGGTTTCAGGGAGACTGAATAGAACTAGTTAAATAAGTCACTTCTTCTGACATTACCTGTCTGAAATCGAATGGTTTTTAGAATCTTACTTTGTTTATCTATATTCTACATTAAGAACCACAAATAAACACTCTTCCTCCTTTTTCTTCGTTTCATTAAAAGGTTGTTTTGCTAAATTCATAGAGGTACAGAATTAATTTTGTATTTTATTATTTTGTTCTCGCTCTGTAATTTAAAAGTGATAAATTAAATAGAAAATTTCAATGCAGCATCATAACAGTTGATGTTCGGGGTACTTAGTGTGTTATGAAAGGATTTGGGAAGGGCATTTAACTCACACAGCCTTGGTGTATTGATGAGTTATGGATTGAGTTTTCAAGTAAGTAACTCAGACCCAAGCCAAGAAGGGTGGAGTCCTTTCTTAGTTACTTTACATTACAGAATCTAATATTTTTCTTACCATACTTCTTTAAAGAAGACACAATTGAAAAAAATATTTTTATTGATTTTAGAGAGGAATGGAAAGAGAGAGAGATAGAAACATCAATGATGAGAGAGAATCATTGATCGGCTGCCTCCTGCACGCCCCACATTGGGGATCCTGCCCACAACCCAGGCATGTGCCCTGACTGGGAATTGAAATGTGACCTTCTGGTTCATAGGTTGACGCTCAACCACTGTGCCATGCTGGCTGGGCACAGTTGTATTTTGATATAGTTCTATTATTTTCTATTCATAAAGTTATATTTATAAGACACTTTATTAGACTTTTTTGAGCCCTAGATAGATAGTGAGGAGGGATTAGGTGTGCAAAAAGGAGCATCAGCACCGCCTGACACCCTACTAATTTGTACCTCAGCATCCATTTACCTCTGCCCTTCTCTGCTGTATTTAAAGAGAGCTTCTTTGATCTCTGCTGCTCTCACACTCTCTTTCTTTTGAGATTCCCTTCAGCTAAATAGCAGTACACTCTCTGTTTATCTGCATATATATAATTTTTCTATTGTATCTACCCTGATACATTTTACATTTATTTTTCTTTATAGAAATGCTTTGTGTGGAAAACTTCAATGTGAGAATGTCCAAGACATGCCTGTATTTGGAATTGTGCCTGCTATTATTCTGACCCCCAGTGGAGGCACCAAATGTTGGGGTGTGGATTTTCAGCTAGGATCAGATGTTCCAGATCCTGGGATGGTGAATGAAGGCACAAGATGTGATGTTGGGAAGGTAATTAAAATTTTTTCTATGTATAAAGTAAAATTTTAAAAATTGTTATGCAAAGTGATTGTTTTTTTTCTGATTATAAAAGAAATTATGTTTAGTATAGAGATTTGGGAAAATATGAAGCCATCAAGAACAAAATTGAGAATAGTTATGATTCTACTATCCAGATTTCTTACGTTATCACCTGTGGTTTCCATGTTGCCATGTGCTTTGCATTTTTCCCTCCCCTATCAATGAGCTATAATTTATTAGTCAGTTTGCCATTATTGGGACACTAAGGTGATTTCCAGGGTCGTGTGTGTGTGTGTGTGTGTGTGTGTGTGTGTGTGTGTTGAGGTGGGGTGGGGGGGCATGTGCATCCACGTGTGTCTCTGTACTAGAAATCTCAGTGTTTGTCCTGCCCATGCTCCCTGTTACCCTGACCAGAACTGTTTGGATCAGATATGAGCCAATATTTAGCCAGCCTCTGACTTAATGCCAGCGATGCATATGAGAAGATGAACTTATTTGGATTAAGTAATTAAAGAACAGTAATTAAGAGTAGGACAGAAGCTGTAAGAATTCTTTGAGAGATGCCATGAAGCAGGAGCAGAGCTAGAAGGCTTATGGCAAACTTAAGCCATTTACAAAAGATAAAAGGATACAGGATTATTGAACAAGTTGAAGACACCAACTCAGAGGAGAATAGAGGAGGAGGAGAGAACACAATTGACTGATTATATAATAAGTGAAAGACAAGGTGGACCCTCAAGTTACTTCAATTTCTACCAAGTTCTCAGACCCAGTTCAGTTTCCTGCTTATAAAAAGAGCCTTTTATTTTTGTCCCTGTCCTTCCCACTACATATACTTGACTGCTTCAGTCTTGATAAACAATGCAGAGACAAATGGCTTTATAAATAAAAATTTCAGAATATCTTAATTGTCTTCTTAGACAATAGTGTGCATACTTTTAAAGTTTTAGATATATTTTTGCCAATTTTGCTTTATAAAAGTTATTGCTAGTTTACCTTCCAACCAGTTTTAAATAAGTGTTTTAATTCTCCATATGATAGTCAAGATTAGCTTCTATTGTTTTAAAGCTTTTTATTTTACTCTTTCTTGATTATTAGTGATATTAAATTTTTTGGTGTCTATATACTTATTCCTTCTTTTGTGATTTTCTTATTGATATCTTTGTCCACTTAAAAACTGGTGTGTTTTTCTTATTGATTTTATAATTTGACTGGGAATACGGCTAGCCTTCAAAGGTTATATTATTATTTTAGCTATTGGGTTGGTTAGATAATATTTTTTATTTAATGGAATATCCTTTTAACCCTAATTAATAAGTATTTAAAAAGAATCAATTTTAAATTTTATTAGTTTAAAAAAATCAGCTATTGAAATAATACATTTTTTGTTTTGGCCTATTGATGTGCTGGGTCATATCAATAAAATTCCTAACATTAAATTATTTTTATATTCCTGGAGCAAATACTGGTAACATTGAATTTTTCTGTAGATAGATTCCTGGATTCTATGTGCTAGTGAGTATACTTTTGTATTTCTGAAGCGGTATACATTCAACATTTTTGAATTTATGAAATTTTACTCTATGAATTATAGTCAGTACTCTTTTTAAAAAATATATATATTTTATTGATATTTTTTTACAGAGAGGAAGGGAGAGGGATAGAGAGTTAGATGAGAGAGAAGCATTGATCAGCTGCCTCCTGCACACACCCCACCAGGGATGTGCCCACAACCAAGGTACATGCCCTTGACTGGAATCGAACCTGGGGCCCTTCAGTCTACAGGCGGACTCCCCATCCACTGAGCCAAACTGGTTAGGTCTATAGTCAGTACTCTAAGTCTCACAAAAACTCAGCTAAGTCTGAATTAAAGCATAACAGGAAATTTATTTATTAAAAACAAAATCAGTTAAAGAGATTTGGAACCCAGAATCCCGGATATTATTTCTGCAGTTCTTTCCTCTATCTTTCATTTTTGCTTCTCCCTTGTTGACCCTCCCCCCCCAGCATTATCTATAATAATAAAAGTGTAATATGCAAATCGACTGAACAGCCAAACAGCAGAACAACCATTCGGATGACCATGCAATGACACTCACTGGTGCCAGGCCAGCCAAGGCAGGTGCAATGCCATTGGTCAGGGGGGCCCGCCATCACCCCACGATTGCCCCACGATCGCCCCACAGAGGGAGGCCCAGGACACCGGCCAGCGGGGTGATCGATTGGGGGGACTCTGCGATTGCCCCACAGAGGGTGGCGGCCACCCTCTATGGGACAATTGATCAGGGGGCTCCACAATCGATCGCCCCAAAAAGGGAGGCCCAGGTCACCGACCGGCAGGCTATGGTGGGTAGGTAGGGCCTCCCTCTGCAGGGTGACTGATCACAGAGTTCTGGCCCTGCAGCGGGAGGCCCAGGCTACCTGGCTGGTGGCGTTGCGGCGGGTGGGTGGGGCCTCACTCTGTGGGGCTCCCAGATTGTGAGAGGGCACAGGCCGGGCTGAGGGACCCCCTTGCCTCCTGAGTGCACGAATTTCATGTACCGGGCCTCTAGTTGAGATATAATTGACATATAACATTGTACAAACTTAAGATGTACAATGTAATGATTTGATGCACATATATATTGTGAAATGATTACCACAATATGGTTTGTTAATTTATCCATTCATCTCACATGAATAAGTTTTTCTTCTGTTTGGAGAGAGGACATTTAAACTTACCCTCTTATCAATTTTTAAGTGTATAATACAGTGTTATTAACTATAATCACCATGCTAAATATTAGATGCCCAGAACTTACTCTTCTTATTATAACTGGAAGTTTGTACTCTTTGCAAATAAAGTGGAGGGCTGCAGCACAGTAGCCCCGCTCTGGAACATTCCTGAAGGACAGTGGTGAAAGAAAATCCTCCCAGTGGACAGAATTTTGAGCAATACAACGGGTTGTTCTCTTTTAGGTTTGCTTGGAGGGAGAAACGGCCAGATGTGCTTTATACACCAATTCATTTCTGAAGGGTTCCCATTTTCTCCTTCATTTAAGGGTTCTGGGTCTGTAATATAGCTCAAATCTGGGAATTGATTGAGAGCTCGTGACTCAGTTTTTTTTTTAAATTTAAATTCTTTATTGTTTAAAATAAACAGTGAAATTGCATGAGTCTCCTTTTTCCCCCATTGACCTCTCCTGCCGGGAGCCGGTCCATCCTTGCTGTTTCAAGGGACCTGGCATATATGGCATACTGTTCTTAATATGTTTGGTCACCTTCTTGGCACTATGTGTTTTAACCAAGGTCACCTCTCCGAGAAAGGTTGTTTTCCCAGGTAGGGATTTTCCCCTGAAGTTAGGGAGGGAATAAAACCTCTTAACTGCCAGGCGGGTAATTAATCACTTTAACTACAAACAATCATGCTTAAGTACATAATCTTTACTCCCTGGAATGGAGATAAGAAACGCCCTAACCTTTGGAATAGAGATTGATAGGATTAAAATCAACTGGTATAAATACAGATGCAACAAGACAACAGGAGACAGAACTTAGAGACAGAACTTAGAGACAGAACTGAGAAGACAGAATTTAGGACACAGAACTTAGAACACAGAACTTAGAAGACAGAACCTACACAGAACCTAGGGACAGAAGAACTTCGCTGGAGAGAACATGGCAAAAGATCCTGGACAGAACCTGGCTACAGAACTTGGCTGGAGATTGTGGCTAGAGATCCTGGCAAGGCTGCTGATCAACTGAACGCTGTCTCCGTGTCATTCCTTCTTCGCCGACTCCGTCCACACCTTTGGGGACCCCTGGACCTGCTGGGGTTGGCCCCAGCACTCTTCCCAGACACCCTCACTCCCAGCACATGCCCTCACCCCACTACTGTCTGTGTCCATTGGTTATGCTCGTATGCATGCATACAAGTCCTTTGGTTGATCTCTTACTCCCTCACCACCCTCATAGATTGGACAGTCTGTTCAGTGCTTCTATGTCTCTGGTTCTATTTTTATTCATCAGTTTATGTTCATTATATTACACAAATGAGTGAGATCATGTGATATTTATCTTTCTCTGACTGGCTTATTTCGCTTAGCATAATGCTCTCCAGTTCCATCCATGCTGTTGCAAATGGTAAGAATTCCTTCTTTTTTACAGCAGCTTAGAATTCCTTTGTGCAGATGTACCACAGTTTTCTAATCCTGTCATCTGCTAATGGGCACTTAGGCTGTTTCCAAATCTTAGCTATTGTAAATTGTGCTGCTATGAACATAGGGGTGCATATATCCTTTCTGATAGGTGTTTCTGTTTTCATAGGATATATTCCTAGAAGTGGGATTACTGGGTCAAATGGAAGTTCAATTTTTAATTTTTTGAGGAAATGCCATACTGTTTTCCACAGTGACTGCACCAATCTGCATTCCCATCAGCAGTGCAGGAGGGTTCCTTTTTCCCTGTATCCTCCTCAGCTCTTGTCGTTTGTTGATTTGTTGATGATAGCCATTCTGACAGTTGTGAGATGGTACCTCATTGTTGTTTTGATTTGTATTTCTTGGATGATTAGTGACTTTGAGCATGTTTTCATATGTCTCTTGGCCTTCTGTATGTCCTCTTTCAAAACATGTCTATTAAGGTCCTTTGCCCATTTTTTATTGGATTGTTTATCTTCCTTTTGTTAAGTTGTATGAGTCCCCTATAAATGTTGGAGATTAAACTCTTATCAGAGATAACACTGGCAAATATGTTCGCCCATGCATTGGGCTTTCTTGTTGTTTTGTTGATGGTTTCTTTTGCTGTGCAGAAGCTTTTTATTTTGATGTAGTCCCATTTGTTTATTTTCTCCTTAGTTTCCATTACCCTAGGAGCTGTAGCGGTAAAGGTATTGCTGCAACATGTGTATGCTTTTGCCTCCTTTGTCAAATATTAATTGAGCATATTGGCTTGGGTCAATTTCTGGGGTCTCTGTTCTCTTACATTGATCTATATGCCTGTTTTTGTGCTAG